AGTTAAGTTTATAATTTCATTCTACCCCTTTAGAATAGATACTTTATCAGAAAAGATAATTTTTCCTTGTGTGAAACTGTTTTCTAAGGGCGGGGGGCTTAATATCTAAAGCTGACATTTAACTAAGAAAGCTAAAAAATTAGCCTGGGGAAAGATGAGATAAAAGAGTTCCTTGGTATCAAGCAAATTTTAAATTATGGTCTATATTTGCCATAAGCATGATGAAATCAGATTTGAGTGGTTCAATTCCAACAAGATAATAGTGGGAAAAATGTGACACACTGTACAAATGAGTAAGAATAAGACATATTTCAGGTAAAAAAAAGACCATAAGTGTTTTCAACCACATGTTTTCAAGAGAAGTTACAACATTATCAGAGTCATCCAAAGGAATTAATTCATTGAATCATTAAAAATTTATTCATACCTATTATATACTTGTGTGTTAGGATCTGCTAGGACTAGGCATTACTCTCTTCTTTGACTAGGCAGTGAGATTAAGGTTTCAGGATGCTGAAAACAAAATAAAACAAAAACCCAAAGGATTTGTACTGTTCTTTAACTTCCTATCAAAGACAATACAGACAACATTAATATATTATCCACATTGCTTCTAGCTTTCTACCAAAGGTGAGATTTCTCTGAATGTTCTGATAGTGCTGGACTACCAAATGTGTCCTTTTAAAGTGTAGACATACAGAGACTGATCAGCAGCTTGAATCCAAGCTTTAAGGGATGGCTAGGCCACTGTTTCAAATAGAAATGCCAGGCCTATGATGAAATCCAGTCATAATCTACCTGCTTGTTTCATCGAGAACAGTAAGAAGCAAGGTCTTCTGTTACTCTACAAGTAAGCGTGATTTCTAAACCATAAGGAGCTTGCAGTGGGTTGAATGGTGCCCCCCGCCATAAGTCTATATCCTAACCTCCAGAACCTGTGAATGTGGTCTTATTTGGAAAAAATAGTCTTTGCAGATGTAATTAAGTTAAGTACCTTGGATGAGATCATCGTGGATTTAGGGTGGGCCCTAAATCCAATGCAGGTAAGAGACTGGCTATGTAAAAAGTGGTCAGACCATATATAAATACAGCACTTTCACCCACAACCTGCAGCAACCAATTCAGGAAACCAATCCGCTATCTACAGTAACCAGACTAGGAAGCCATACTGCTATCTATGTCAGACTTGTAGGAAGCCAGACCACTATCTCTAATAACAATTCCAGAAGCCAAACAATAAGTCCTATAACAATTGGCCCCAAATGACCAGTATTTGATGAATAACTAACAGCTTCCCTAATTGGGGCCAATCAGAGAAAGCCAAAATGTACACTCTTAACCAATCACATAGGATGTCCTGCTTCTAGTTAGCCTACCTACAGCTTCCCCATGCCAGTAGCCTCCAATCGGGATATACCTGAAGATTTCCCCTTTTTCCACTATTAAAGCTTTCCTACTCTGCCAACACACAAGTGATGGCTGACTCCCTTGCCATAGCAAACTCTGCATAAATAATTCTTTGCTTGTTCTCATATAGCTGGTCATTATTTCCACACAGGTGTTTTTACAGCAGAAAGGCAGAGGGAAATTTGAAACTCAGACACACATTAAGAAGACCATATGAGTATGAAGACATAGAGTCCCAAGTCACACAGTTATATACTATCAAGTTCATCCTTATAAAGTGTACACTTCAGTGTTTAATTGACTTTTTCAACTTATTACTAGGCTATGGGTTCAGACTGCATCAATGAGAGGGTTTCTTTTGTATGAACAAAATGCTAAGGAAGAAGCAATTAATTCTGCCTGGTGAGGGAATGGGGATTCAAGGAAAGTTATGATTGAGGTTGAAAGATCTTAAATAAGTAGCAGTTAGGTAAGCATAAAAAGAGAAGGGTGTTCTAAGTAAAAGGAATAGCATATGTATGGGATAAAATCTTGTAGCTCATCCAAGAAACAGCCTTTAGTTTGAGTGGCTTGGGAATAAGGCAGTTGTTTTTCAAACCTAATTATGCATCTGAATCATCTGTATAGATTAAAGCAAAATAAACAGCAAAGAAAAACATGCCCAGACTTGACTCCCAGAGATTCTGATTCAAATGTATATCGAGTGGAGTCCCTAGATTTAGTTTTAAGTTCTGCTTGTAGTTCTGATGTACAGCCAGGAGAACCACTGGAGTGGGTCAGTGGAGATGAGGTAAGAGAGTTAGATGAGGGTAGATAGTCTAGGAACAAATGGTGAAAGGAAATGGTATGTAAATACAACACAATGACAAACTCTCTCTTCCCTGACAGCTTTCCTATTTTGAAATATTTTTAAATTTTTTACTGCCACTACTGTTTCATGAAAGAAAATGAATTCCATCATTGTCTATAAAAACAGGGATAAATGTTTTAAACCAGTGTTGTAACTCAAAAGATCTCTATTTTGCTTAAGGTAATAAATATTTAACATAAAACAAACTCAGAGAGTGTAGAGTGTACCTTCTGATCAGGTGTACCATCTACCGCTCAGGGCTCTTAACAAATGCCCCACAAAAATCATGAAAATACAAATTTTGACAAAAATATCTGTGAGGGATACTGAACAGCAAGTTCCTATTCTGGGTTGGTGATCCCATTACCTAGTCAAATAGAATGGAAGCACTTGCCCACCTCCAAGTGGTCTTCTAAACTCCTAGATATCTAGGACTCTTTCTCTTTCAGGCAAAACTTCTTCAGCATTTATTGTCTGAGCAACAATAAAGACAAAAGGGACCTCTCCTTCCACCATAACCAGTTCCACAGGAAGCATCCTTTCTCCTACTCTTCAATGGCTGAACAGATTGTCCCTTTATCTTAGCACCTGCCCTCCATGTAGTAGTAGCTGTTCGCTATTTCTAAATAAACGTTATACTCTTTGAGGTTAGACAAGGGATGCTAATTTATCACAATTCTAAGAGTTACTGTCTTCTAATTTTCTACTAGTGACACAGATTTTTAAACGGCCTTACAAGTCTTTGTCAGCACCAATAAAGGAGCTGTAAAGAGTGTTGGTCCAGTCAGCAAGTAAGGTGGAATCCGCAAAAAGGCAAAGGAAGGTTCAACCCAAGTGTTTCTGGGAACAAAAAAAACACACTGTAAAAAACACTAAGAACAACAGACAAACTCCACCCAAGGAGGCCGATTAGTTGAACCCTGGATGGGGCGAACTGCCAAGGGATAACACAGGCTGTCTCAGGGTTGGGCTCTGGTGATTAAACCAAGTTGTCTGACCCACACTGCTCGTCCTCAAGCGTTGGGGGAGAGCGCTTCCATTCGCAGAAGGGAGTCTGCCATGTGTTCCCCGGGTCGCTCCCGCCGCCCTGCTCCTCTCACCGACTCGTTCCCCTCACCTGGCCCGCTCTCCCGCCGCCCTGCTCCCCTCCCCGGCCCATCAGCCTTCCATCCGCCCTACTCCCCTCACCGACCCGCCCTCCCGCCGCCCAGCTCCCCTCACCCGCCCGCAAGCCTCTCAGCCGCCCGCCTCTCAGCCGCCCGCCTCCCCTCAGGGGCCAGCAAGCCTGCCAGTCGCCCCGCTTCTCTCACCTGCGCGCCTGACGTCCCTCCCCACTCAAGGGCCCGCCCTCCGCCCCGCCCCCGTCACGGGCCCGCCTCCCTCCCAGCTCCCCTCGTGGCTCGCCGCCCCGGCCCCCGCCAGCTGACCCGGCTGGCTCCTGCTAGAGGGCTCTGGTTCCTGTTTCTCTTACCTCAGCGGGGCGGCGGAGGACGGCCTCGACGGGCTGCGCTGACCCGGAACTGCTGAGGCGGCTGCGAGGGCCGGCGCTCGGCTCCTCCCGGGCTTTCCCCGCGCCTCTCGGTGCCCAGCCCTCTTCCCCCGAACTCGCTCGTGCCTCCCTGCGGGTCGCTGGCCTGGCCCAGCCCGGTCCTCCGCAGTCGCGGGTCCCCAGCCGTCGTGCCCACGCCAGGCCGGGCGCCCGTGGTTGGTCGGCGGTGAGGTGGGTGAGGTGGGGCAGGCGCTGCTGCGGCGGAGTCGCGGGGTCGGGCTTAGAATTCCAGGTGCCACGCTCATGGCTTCCGGGTTCCGTCCAGGCTCTGGGCGGCGGGTGGCGGCGGCCGGGCGCCTCGGAGCTCGCGGAAGACTGAGAGTACAAGCCAAGGCGGAGTGCCGGCAGGCGGTACGGGGAAAACTGCCTGCGTTGTGCGTCGGTGGGTCAGAAAGTCCCAAGGGGGCGGGTGGAGGCGGTGGAGGCGCCAGGGCTGGTGGGGACGCCAGGGCAGGTGGAGACCGAGCGCAGGACCGGGCGGGGCGGGGAGGACAGATGCTTTTTGTGGCATTTCCCAAGGCAGAAGGGAGTATGGTCGTCACCCCCCTCGCTGCTCTCGTTTTTCAAAACTGGCGAAATGAACCTCAGTGGGAGCCCAGTTCGGTACGGAGTGGAGGTTGGGAGTGGCTGCAGGAGAAAAGCGTCCCGGGCCAAGGGGGTCACCACCAAAGGCGGCCCCTGAAGAGAAACCGACTGCCAGGGCTGGGAGGGGAGAAGATCCGCGCCGGGGAGAGCGGGTGATGGTGGTGCTGGTACCGAGTAAGGAAGTAGGTGGGTAGCACGTCTGATCCAAATCAGTCACCTGGAGTGCTGTGTAAATCCTGGAATCGTCTCAGTTTTTATCCCCTTAAAAAATGTATATGTTAGGTGCAGCTCCCATTAACCTATTGAAGGCCCCAATATTTCCTATGAAGGGTATGACCTAACATGCCAGTCATGTCAGGATTAATGATATACATATAAGATAAATTGACACCCTGTAATTAAAAAGCAGGACTTTGTCTAAGTTAATAAGTAATTCCCGGGCGTCTGGGTGGCTCAGTTGGTTAAGCGACTGCCTTCGGCTCAGGTCATGATCCTGGAGTCCCGGGATCGAGTCCCACGTCGGGCTCCCTGCTCAGCAGCGAGTCTCCCTCTCTCTCTGACCCTCCCCCCTCTCATGCTCTCTATCTCATTCTCTCTCTCTCAAATAAATAAATCTTTAAAAAAAAAATCTTAAAAAAAAAAATAAGTCATTCCCTACTTAAAATTTGCTGTGTGAAAAAACATCACACACACAGAGTAACTGTTGTTCTGCTGGAAAGATGTACAAATCACTTTCACAAAACGAATTAAGAGATGGTTCCACTCTTATGGTTCTCTTAGGACAAATAATGGACTATCTTTGCTTGGAATCATCTAGATCTACTATTTTGTTACGTTTTTAGATCAGTGAAACTTTTTTTTTTTAAAACGTAGGTACAAATTTGTAACTATGAGAAGATTGATATAATTTTGCATTCTTAGGCTAATTTTTCTTTATAGGTGATTTCTAGGAGGTACAGAAATCTTTGAAGGGCTTTATACCATATTGAAGGATGGCAGAAGCAGTGTTGATTGATTTCTTTGGTTTGAAATTTAACTCTCAGAAAAATAGTCATCAGGCATTACTGAAGACATTGAATGCTGTCCGATACCACCATGCTGCCAAGGCCAAGTTTCTTTGCATAATGTGTTGCAATAACATCAGCTGTGAAAGGAATGGTGCACATAATAACTGTGAATTAGAAGCAAGCAATGGATTATCAACTCTCCTGAGAGAATTTGAGACTGTTAGCAATCCTAGTATGGCTGCCTCCTTGTATACTATTAAGCAAAAAATTGATGAAAAAAATTTGAGCAGCATTAAGGTAATTGTACCCATGCACCGGAAGACATTACTGAAGGCTTTTATTGATCAACTCTTCACCAATGTTTACAGTTTTGAGTTTGAAGACTTACAGGTGACTTTGAGGGGAGTTCCTCTGAAACAATCCACTGAAATAGACATGATCACAGCTCAAGAAGTAGAAGCAATCCAGAATGAAATACAAACATATTTGAGAAGTCTGCCAGCACTGAAAGGAGAGTTAACCATTATCACATCTCCTTTGATCTCAGGTATGTTAAACACTGTTGTTTCCCTCCTTTCTTTTGTAGACTATAGGTTTATGAGCTCATTGGCATCAGTTGCAACATGGGAGTGTGAGGGATGTCAAGGGATATCAAGGGATAGTCCCTTCAGAGCCACCCTTAATAAATAAATTTGTTTTATGCAAATTCAGTTTTAAGACAAATCCCCCAGCCTTCCTTTAAAATGAGATTTATGACCCTAAGCATCTCCTATTTAGAAATTTGATACCTTAACTCATTGGTACCTTCACAGAAGAATGAAATTTTAGAAAGTCAGTCTTACTTCTTGGTTAAATGATATTTAGTGTGGGCTATATGCTGTTAGGAATAACAAAGACAAAGGGGACAGAAGATACTCTGAAGAGCAATAATCCCATGGGGATGGTAAAGAAAACACAAAGCCATATGTAACAAGAACACATGAGGTACACAGTGCTGTAGAAATTGGAAGCCAGGAAAACATGCAGCTTGAGGTGATCATGGAAAGTCTTAGTGAGACACTGGGTTTGTAACATTTTATAGTCTTTTGTATAGTGTATTTTTAATCTTTATTACTTCTATTCAACAGATATTTTCTTACATGGATTTACTACAAGAACAGGTGGAATATCTTACATCCCAACTCTTAGCTCATTCAATCTCTTCAGTAGTTCCAAAAGGAGAGATCCCAAGGTCGTTGTTCAAGAAAATCTGCGTAGGTTGGGGAATGCTGCAGGATTTAATGTGGAGAAATTTTACCGAATAAAGGTAAAATTTTGTTTCATGTTTTAGAATATCTAAAATATATTCTTGACTGTGCTAATGACTACATGGACTTTAATCAAGCTATTTAACTTTTGCATCTTGTGTTTTATCTAAAATTTTAGGATAATGCTTATGGTTGTTTTTCTTAGATCTGTACACTATAGCCTAAAAATCAATTCTATGATAGGTATCTTTCACCTGAAGTTCAATGTATCTAAAAGTACAGTCAATTCTTATAGTACCACTGCCCTTTTTGATTTAGAAGGAAGATTCCAGAATGGTGGGAAAGGCCATTATTTTCTAAATCAGCATTCGGAGGAACTAGGATCTCTATTGATGCTTTGTTTCTTACAGAATTCTAGCTTTATTTGGGTCAGGAAAAGTAAAAATATCTTTAATTTGGTAATTAATTTAACTTCTTTCCATAAATAGTACTTTATGGAAAGTGCTGCAAGTAGAGATTTACCCATCTCTAGTAGGAGATATTTGTGATGGACTTTATTAAATTGTTAAGTGTTAAAGTCTGTTTTCCTTTGCATAAAATATGCAGAGATTATAATACCAAAAGTTAAATGAGAAGTTTGGTATTTTACCATAGAAGTGATATTTTTAATGCTTATTAGTAATATTAAACTAGTTATATAATTTTATACAAAATGAGTATTTTCAGAAAAAGCTTATGGTATGAGAAATTCTTCTTTCAAAATATTTTTATCACACATCTTTGGTATTAGACTGATCATGCCAGTGACGTCTGGATTATGGAAAGGAAGGAACCTGAATCTTATGATGGAATCACCACAAATCAGAGGGGAGTCACAATAGCAGCTCTTGCTGCTGACTGTATACCAATTGTTTTTGCTGATCCTGTCAGGAAAGCATGTGGTGTTGCTCACTCTGGTAAGTATACTTAATTAAGCATTTAGGATTTTACCAGTTTTGTAGTATAGGAAAAATTATAATTTATTTCTGCTGGGCATGACAGTTAATTACTTTACATGGTACTAAGTGTAAAAATAGGGATAGAGACAGGATACTTTTATTATAGGAGCAGATAAAAGCAGTACCTAAGTCAAATTATGTGAATCAGAGTAGAATTCCCAAAGGAAGCAATACCCAGGCTGATTCCTGAGGAATTTATAGGACTTGACTAGGTGCCAGGGTTTCTCAGCAGGGTCGCTATTAACATTTTGGGTAAGATAATCTTATATTGCAGTTTGCTTGGCTTTCAAAATTCCTAATGCCAGTAGCACCCCCAGTTGTTGTAATAACAAAAAAAGCTCCTACATGCTTTTCAGAGCACTCCAAAGGGAGTGGTACTGCCTCTGGTTGAGAACCCTTGAAGTCTAGGCAATGGGGAATAGGAAGATAAGGCATGTTGGAGAAAGGTATTCATTGAAGATGAAGGTGCAGCAGCATGTGTAGAGGTATGGAGTTAAGAAGCAAGATATGTTTGGAAAACTGCATTTATTTTAATATGTTATAGTCTAGTGCCTTTAACTATTCTGTATAGTTAAGAACAAAGGATTTTTAAATATTGTGTTAAGGTTATGGAATTTTGTTTTCTGAAGGTATTTTAAAATGCTATTTGGATTATCCTGTGGTTATAACTTTGTGAAATGAGGGATGATCTTTTAGAGTTCCTTCTGGTTGTAAATCTCTGACTACTTTGCTTTTTAGACAAAAGATAAATAAGGAAGTGGCATATTTTTCTTTTGATCTAGCTAAACTTATAGGATTGGATGACTAGCAGTCAGATTTATGATTTGACAGTATCAAAAAGTTATTTAACATTTGAGTCTTATTTCCTACATACAAAAAGAGAATCTTATTTGTTATTTCTTAGGTTTTGAAACATTATTTTTAAATACCAAAGATCAAAGCTGTCAAAATGAAACACTCTTGAATGAAGTTAAAGGTCTGACACTTTCTGATTTTTAAAACTTGTCATAAAGCCACAGTAATCAAAACAGTATGATACAGGCATAAAGACAGACATATAGACCAATGGAATAAAAGAAAGTGCCCAGAAATAAACATTTGCATATATGATCAGAAGATTTTAACAAGGTACCTAGAGTATATACAGTGGGGAAAGGACAGTCTCCAACAAATAGTGCTGAGAAAACTGGATATTCACATGCAAAAGAATGACGTTAGATCCTTATCTTGCATCATATATAAAAATTAACTCAAAATAGGTTAAAGACCCAGCGCATGGGTAGCTCAGATGGTTGGGCATCTGCCTTCAGCTCAGGTCTTGATCCCAGAGTCCTGGGTTCGACCCCACATGAGGCTCCTGGCTGGCTCAGCGGGAAGCCTCGTTCTCCCTCTCCCTCTCCCCCTGCTTGTGTGCTCTCTCTGTCTCTCTCTCAAATGAATAAATCTTTAAAAAAAAAAAATAGGTTAAAGACCTAAATGTAAGAGCTAAATCTATAAAACTTATCAAAGAAAACAAAGTGTAAATCCTTGTGAACTTGGATTAGGCAATGGTTTCATAGAAACAACACCAAAAGCACAAGAAACAAGAGTAAAGACAGATAAATTGGAATTCATCAAAATTAAAAAACTATGGGGGCGCCTGGGTGGCTCAGATGGTTAAGCGTCTGCCTTCGGCTCAGGTCATGATCCCAGGATCCTGGGATCGAGTCCCACATCGGGCTCCCGGCTCAGCGGGGAGCCTGCTTCTCCCTCTGACCCTCTCCCCTCTCATGCTGTTTCTCTCTCGCTCGCTCTCTAAAAAATAAATAAAATCTTTAAAA